ACCTTATTCAATCAGATATAATCGTGTGAGCTGATGAAAAGTTTATATCTCTTATTTTCAAGTTTTTTTATAATAAAAAAAATTCCTTCTTTTCGGATTTTTTTTCTCCGGTTTCTTGTTATTTTTATTTTTATTATTATTTTTCTTCCCCCCCTTTTTTTCTCATTGTTCTGTAATTTTTTCCATGTTTTGAACTTATTTCATGTTTTGAACTAATTTTGAACTTATTTTAAGAGCTCAATTTACCTGCAGCTTATACGCAGTAAATAAAACTTATTGTTTTTCTTCATTTTCCTCGTGTCTTTTTTTCCCTTTGTATTTAGTTATTATGTATTTTTTTAAAAATATTAAAGGTGTTATTAACAAAAATGCTTGCAAAATGAGAACCATTCAAATGATTGATTATAAAATTATAGCTTTTTTTCATTTTATACAACGTAATTTATCATGCTTCAAAAAGTTTTCAAGGATTATTTAATTTATGGATAAAAAGTACTGAGTAGATAATAAAATTGTTTTTGCGTAAGACCGTCTTCATTCAAAAAGATTTGTATAATTATGCGCATACATCTTTTTATAGTTTGCTCTAGTAGTTTCAAATTGAATAAATATTTTTACCTCAGGTTATTTTCCGAATCACTTGCCATTAGAGAGACTTGCGCTTCCATAAAAAAAAAACAATGTTTACTATTTCATTGTACCAACTTTCATTCGTGCTTAATTTTTAAAATAAACCTGTCATTTATTCTAACAATAAGATTATTCTCTGTTCTGGTTTGTCATATAAGCGATATCGCTTTCTTTTTTATCCCAACATTTCCGAATTTTAATTATTTAAAAAGTAATAATGGAAACTTATTTTAATTTAGTTATTTACTTTTTTAGCAGTGGAGTGATAAACTTGTTCTTATATAGCTAAACAGTTTCAAAATTTCTATAGATATTATAAAAAGGTTCCACAAGTTCTTCTGTAAACTCGGTTGCTTTTCAACTGAAAATGTTCGTCTGCAACTCTCCACGTTCAGCTCTAGTCTGATATAAAGAGAAAACGATGTCCAATTGATTAATCACTCTGCTCTAGAATTCTAATGTAATAAAAGAATTACAATATACGCACTTTCAGTAATAAAACTCCCACTTTTGACAATTCAGTAATTCTTGAGCAGTATTTCGTTAATTTTGATAATTATTTCGTCACGAAATCACGTTATTTGTGACGAAACGCGAACTCTCAATTATATGAAGAAAATCTTTCCTCAATTCGAATCATAATTGTAATGCATTGTGGGAGATTGTTAGCTAGACGCATAATATAGACTAAACAATCGAAATTAAAGTTACTAAAGAAGCTGACCAGTCTGCAAGGTGGTCAAGGGGTTGGCTTCTCAGCAGGAAGATCCGGGGTTCGAATCCCCTTTCGGGCATTGGTGTAATTTATCTTTACGTTATATCTGTCATTGTTGTGTTGTGACACCTGTAAGTTACCCAAATTAAAGTGATTATTAGAAAAGTTAGTTACTTGAGGCACGGCGAGGGTTTTTCATTTATTTATTTTAGAAAAAATAGAATGACGAAATATGTCTTTAATTTTGATGAAATTCGTTTCCTCGAAGAAGTGAAAAGGAAAGTTATGTCGTCACTTTGATAAAATATTTGCTCGGATCATATACCAGAAAACGGTTTCGTTAAAAACGAAGAAATTTCGTGATATTTGAGTATCCATTTTTATTTAAGTATCCATTTTTATTTGTAAATTTAAGAAGAAATATTTTAAATACTTTTCGGCTTACGATGATTTTTTAAGCAAATGAGATATGTAGATTTTCAACAAAAGAAGAAAAGCAGCAAATTATTAAGACAATATAAAATAAGTTGACATATCCACCCCACGAATTTCATCTTTCATGGCCTAATATATTTATTTCGTAGATAAAATCAATTAGAAAAAGAAAGAGTTCAATAATGAGTTTAAAATAGTTTAATGTAATCGTTTTTATTTTTTTTTTATAAATTGATTATCAATATAGAATCACGCACTTAAAAATATTAAGCATTTTTTTGGGAATAAAAACAACTTAATTCTCAGAAGAAAACTCTTCATTTGTGAAAAGACACAAGTACTATATTTGAAAATGAATCACACGATTTAAAATGTCTTTCCAATTTTATTAAATATTATCTCTATTTCATGAAATTTTCACACTATAAGCATGGAAAGAGGAAAATTTAATTAATACATTCATTAGGCATTTAATAAAAATGATATACCATTGAGATCATACTAATTTGATCTTATATCGTCTGAAATATAAGATCAAATTTTTAATTAAATGAACTGAATTTTAAGTGTGAATTAAAATATATAAGTAACTCCGAGGTGTGATGATATATAATTTTTTAATCTTCAAGGGGTTAAATAATATCTTATATTCATCAACAGACAAATTACTTTTAATAAATTAACTTTAAGTAATTATCAACTGATATTCCTCATGTATCAATTTAAATTGAATTAAAATGTGAAATTTATCGAAATAATGGGGATTTAATTTTTATGCTATGTATTTTTATTATTCTAAAATTACCAAATTATTTTATTAACTTTCCATCCATTTAAGAAATAAAAATAACAATTGTGTTTTCAAGTTCATTAAACGTCAAACAAATTAGCAGAACTAATGACTGTTTGCATATAAATAATAAATTATAATTAATAAATTATAATTAAGTACTCATCTTCGATAGTCAACGTCGCAATAAATCCAGCAAAACAAATAATAAAACAACACAACAAATATGTTTCTTGTTTGTCATTTTTGCCACTTCACTCATATTTTTATTGCAAATGCAAAAGAAAATTAAGCTTGTTTCTATCTGTATGAGAAATATTAAATAGATCAAATTAAGGCAGATTTAATATTAACCTTATTCAATTACCATAATAGCTTTGTTTTCATAATTTTCCGACCATTCTATGAATAAAAATGATAATTGTGTTTTCAAATGCATCTCCCAAATTAGCTGAATTAATGACTATTTGCATAAATTATAATTACATACTTACATTCGACAGTTAAAGACGCTATAAATCCAACAAAACAAATAATAAAACTACACAAGAAATATGCCTTTTTTGACATTTTGTCATTCAACTTATGAATTTATTGTAAAAGTAGAAGAAGCTGAAGCTTGTATCTAACTGTGAGAAATATAAAACGAGTTTGTATCGTCATCATTACCTTTTTTTGTGTGAGCATTTCTTGCCCCAACCCCCAAACAAAAACTTATATTTCATAATGGCACGACTTACCTTTCGGAATGAAAGCTGTTTTTCCTGTTTCCTTTAAGACACTCGCTAATCGGTAATTCCGATATACACATCTGTACAAGAGAATAAGTAAAAAAAACACTTGTGTTAACAATTAGTTTTAGTCAAACGGAATATTTTTAAATTTAGTGTCCAAAGAAAACTTATATTAGTGAAATCTTTAGTGATCTTTTTATTCAATTTAATGCAGAGCTGCCTAATCATCTTATCGCTGGGGATCGGTCAGCGTTTGATAATTTTACAGCGACCAGTGGAAGGAAGGAGGAGACGTTTATAGACGAATTATTTCGATTTCATGATTTAAATTTAATTGTATTCAAACATGACTACAAAATAAAATGGAATTCATGAGCTGTATTGGTATGGCTTAAGGTTAAATTACCGAACTGTATGATAATAAAATTTTGTGGTAGAAAAAAAACAACATAATTCTGGTTAATAAAACTAAAATATACGGTATTTAAACCGTTCATTCGGTAATTTTTCTATCCATATGGTTATCTGTTTACCGGATATTCTCGTTTTCAAAATTATAGTTCTTTAGTTCGTGTTAGCAAAAATTTAGAAAAAAATACAAAAATGAAAAGTAAATTCAGCCAAATAAATGGTTTTCATGCCTTATTCTAAGTTATCATGAAAAAATGACACCATTTTAACAAATTTATTAAAATTTAAAACACATTATAAAAAGTTATTTTTAAGTTAATTTTACCAAAATCATTACCGAAGAGTTCCATAAAAACTACAGAGCTTTTTGGTCTTTCCATAGCGCCAAAAAAGCACGCTAAGTTTTACCGTATTATAGGCGTTTTGATCATACTTTTTTTCTTCTGTTGGACACCTCTTAGGCTCCCGTTTAATCTCTCATTCATGGAAAGTCATCCAAACTCGAGAGATATAAAAAGCGGTAAATAAAATGGCAAATAATTTAATGTTCCTTGGATTGCCCGGTAACATTTGAGCCACGGATCATTAGTAGTCAGCGGTCCGAGAGTTGTAGATCACTGATTTAAAGAAACATATGGCATTAAAACTGCTTTTTTTGTTGTGTAGGAATTTAACTTTTTAGGTATCAGCTGTTCATCTTGTATATATATATATATATATATATATATATATATTTT